TATTCTCGGGTTTTGAACATCTAACATCTCTTTCATGCTTCACATCTTTCATATGAAATTGTTGTATTGTGTTGCCTATTGAAACCTAGTTTTCCTTTTGTCAGGTTTTCCCCCCTCACCCCTGCTTTCTTCTCTGCTGTATTTTGATCGGTGTAACGACTTAGGGCTCCATTTTTCTGGGTGGTTTTTAATCTCCTTAAGTTGTATCTCTGAATGCCTTTGTCTGTGATAAACTCAGGTCTGAGCTGGTTCTTGGAGAAGAGGATTTTTAGGCCAGTTCTGTTGCATGTGGCCCCTGGGGTGACTGTGCCTCATCCCTCCTCCTTCTCCCTCCGATAGTCACAGGCAGTCTTGGTGGCATTGGGGTAATTTTATTATCCTGGATCTCATATTGTGCATGCAAATGTCCTTTTCCATAGCTTGGGACTGTGGAAAGCGTCAGTTAAATGTGCATTTTGTAAGGGATTCACCACCCTGTGCTTAAGTGTCATTTACTGGCAGAGCCAGGGGGTCATTTTGGAGGGCAAGGAGGCTGTAAGGCTGTTGATACAGAGTTGTCCCAGTTATCCTCCTCTTAGGAAGGAAGCTAGGAAGTTTGGAAGGAGATGTGGATACCTGGGAAGTCATGGATTCAGAGCCATCTGGCTCACTGCAGCTGCTCCATGGTCATTTCCCACAGGGATAGTTCATAGCCAGAGCCTGGAATGCAGAAGGAAGCCGTGTTCTCCTTCTGTGTCGCTTCTCACTTGAATTGTTTTAATTCTTTTATTTTTTTTTATTCTTAAACCTGCAATCTGAAATTCAGTCATGGAAATATTAACGAGCTGCTGATCACCCTGCCTCTCTTTTCTGCCCTTGTTCAGTCTCAGATTTACAGCTTTAGTTCAGGATGGAATTACTGACACTGTAATGATCTGGTTTATCTCTCTATCTATTATTTGTCAAATAATTTTAACATGACTGTGCTTACAAGAGCTGTCAGAAATCCTCCAAACACTGAGAAGGATGGAGAAGTCACCGGCCTTTTCAAGTGTGACCCTGGTTGTGTTGCTTTGTTTTCAGGGCTCACGGAAATGGCCTTTTCCATTGCCTGTCAAACTGTGACCCAGGTGTGAGGGTTTGAGAGCCCCAGGAGCCAGGCAAGGCACATTTCAGTCCTGTTGGTTTCACTCTTGTTTTCTCCATTAACAGATTTCTGACTGAAAAGCAGAGAGGGGAAGGGAAAGAGGGGGAGGGCAAGGTAAGCAATGCTGCCTTGCTGCCTGTTTCTGATCCTCAGGTTACAGCGCAAGCTAAATAGACTACACTAAATTTTTTAGGCTTTTTCACAGCCTTACAGACTTTGATCCCCAGCTTTGATTTCCCAGGCGGCACCGCAGAGCCTGGTTCTGAGCAGAAAAGAGACCCATTAAGCTCTGTCTAGCCCGGTGATTATCATGCCTTCCACCAGCACCGGGCCTTTCATCCCAGCTCAGCTCCCTGTGCCTGGGGCGATGCCAGGGCAGGGGGAGCCTGTGCCAGCACCCAGCCGGGGGCAGCCCCTCCATCCCACTCCCTTCCACACCCCTGCTTGCTCCTTCCCCACCTGGCTTCAGCAGGATGCCCAGGAGAGGAGGAGGTCACCCATTCTTTCCCAAGGTCTCATGCAGTTTCTGCAACAAACCGGCCATGAAATAAATATTCTGTGTGTGTCCTTGTCAGAGCAGTAGAGATGAGGGCATTTGCCTGTCTGCCCTGCTCTGTGCCTCCAAGTCCCTGGGTCCCTCTGCACCACTTGGCTTGCTTTTTTTTTTTTTTTTAATTTAAATCTAATTTTGCTGCCTTATTGTAAGTTCCCACCTAACTCCAGAGCTGCTGTCGCCTCAGGGCTGTGTTGCTGCTTTTCAGTCTTCCCACACCCATTGCATGTGCAGTCTGCAAAAACTTTGAGAAGTCTCTCCTAAATTTGTGCACTTGGGGTCGTCCTAGGAGGAGTGGAACGAGAATTTCTCTTAGCAGAGAGTACTCTTGAAAAACCCCTTTGTCTGCAAAGTGGGAACTGCCAGGAGTGAAAATGCACAGAATGTGGGCAGCATGGCCGGGAGGAGCTCAGATGTGCAGCGAGGGCCACATCTAGAGGGGCTTGTGTTGAATTCCTGCAGCCTGTGGCTGTTCCTCACCCGGGATAGGGGTTGGTTAATCTCATCAGTGCAGCACACCCAAACCTGTGCCATCACTGCAGTATTATGGGATGTCACCATAGGCTGGCCCAGCCCTGGCCCAGCCTCAGACTCCCATTTCAGTGAATTTTGTTGCAGATGCCACCATCCTGTCTCCATTAACAGATTAGCACGGCTGAATTTCCCATGTGAGCGCTCCACAGTCTGTCTCATTGTGTTTATTTTGTTCAGGATGCTTTTCCCTGGGCTTGACAGTATAATTTGTACAGGTCTCTGCTGAGTTTTCCAAACCTTCAAACAAGCTTTTTTGTTAGTTTGAAGCCAGGACCATTGATAGCAGAGGCAGAGCAACAGGAGCACTGAGAAGTGAGCGGCACACCCACCAGCCAGGAAGGCTCCCTCACCTCCGCAGCTGCTCCTTGGCAAAAGCTCCATGGTTCAGAGATTTTAATTAGATCAAATCCTCCAGGTGACCAGCCAAGTATTAAAGGCATACCAATTTCTCAGTTGTGTCTCTTGCTGTAAGAGTTTTTATTATTTATTTTAGAGAGATGTGACAAAAGAGCTTGGATATCCCAAATATGCTGTTCTCCTTGAATGGCACCAGGAGGTCTCCAGCCCAAGGGATTGTCCTTTCAGTGCATTTCTACTCAGCAAAGTGCCTTCCTGCAAGCTGCTTCTGCACTTGTCTAGTCTCCATTGTCCAGAGGGACTTGCACGTGAGCCCAGAGAGACTTGCACATGAAATGGGATCAGATTTTTGGACCACGTGCTGTTGGGGTCAAGGCTGTGGCTGCAGGTTTGGCTGGAGCTGAATGAGAGCCCCAGCTGTGGGCTGAGGGAAATGGCTTTGGGCTCAGGAGTGGCCTGGGGACAGCTGAAGTTTTAGGGCTTGTGCTGTTTGCCTCTGTTGACTCCCCAAATCAGTGCCCAGCCCATTCAGAGATGCCATCGAAGGATCATTGCACAATGCATTGGGGTGGAAAATCACATCCTGGTTTTGCAGGAGGACACCCTTCTGCACCTCCTGGCATGGGGGAGTTGGGGATGGACTCCTCATGGTGGATGTGTCAGGTCCCACCTGACCCAGGCACTGCAGAAGCTGGTTTGCTTCCAGGGATGCTGCAGGGCTGGTACATGGGGGTCTGAGAATTGTGCTGCAAAAATCTCATCTGCAGGAGGATCTTGGAGCTCCTGGGTTTGTTCTTTCTCCCTCCTGGCCTGTCTGGGTAGGTCACAGATGCCCCCACAGAGTGCCTGTGCCATAGCTGTGCCTGATGCCTGCCGCAGCAAGCGGGTGAGGAGGGAGAAATCAAAGGTGCCTTTCAGCAAAGGCCCTTTTCCTGCCCTGAGGTCAGCCTGGGAAGTCAGGCATTGCCAGCTGGGAAGTCCCACACTAGATTTGCTCTGAGCAATGGTTTTAATGCCAAGCTGCTCCTTGCCCAGCTCCATTTGTCTCTGGTTTTGTTTCCTTATGACCCCGCCTGCCTCTGTGTCTCTAATTTCACGGAGGGGCTGGGCCGTGGCTGCTGCAGCCGCTGCAGGAGCTGCTGGTGCTCCAGCAGGGCCATGACCTTCATCTGGCTCGGTGCCACTGCTGCTGCAGAGCCCAGCAAAGGCTGGGATCAGGGATCAGACTGTGGCTGGCACACTGTGCCCTGACTGTGACACCCTGCCAAGGAGGGAGCCTGGAGGGTCTGATGGCTCCACCACCTTCCAGGATGCGTTAGAAGTGGGCTTGCAACGTGTCCACGTGGATGGTCTGTGTGTGTGTCTGTCTGTCCCGGGCAGCTGCTGACATCCTGACCTGAGGTTTCACCCTGTCCTGGCAGGCAGGAGGGTGGAATTATCCACAGTAGTTCTTGGAGAGGAGCTCTTGTTGTGAGAGGTGTGTGGGTGATCAGCACACTCACAGCAAGTGAGGAGAGGGAAGCAAGAACTGGAATATGAAGGCTGTTCAGGAGTGGATGTGATGTGGAGTGAGAGGATTCACGGAACCAGGGAGCCACAGGAGAGGGCTCCTTGCTAGAGGATGCCAGGTGGGATGGGGAGTGTGCTGCTGCCTTCATTTCAGGTGTGTTTGAAATGGCTGCAGGGTTTGTACCTTCTCCATAGCCATGAGCCAACATTGGTGAGAGCTGGGGGATTTTGTTTTGGGATCAGGCTGTATTGACTCTTGTTCATGTCCACTGTGGGGTGGAAATAGAATTAAATAGAACCAATGAAGTTGGAAAATCCCTCCCAGACCATCAAGTCCAAGCTGTGCCTGATTCCCACCTTGTCCCCAGCCCAGAGCACTCAGTGCCCCTTCCAGCCCTTCCTTGGACACCTCCAGGGATGGGCACTCCAAACCTCCCTGAGCAGCTCCTCCCAATCCCTGAGCCCCCTTTCCATGGGGAAATTCCTGCTGCTGCCCACCCTGAGCTGCCCTGGCCCAGCCTGAGGCCGTTCCCTCTCCTCCTGTCCCTGTTCCCTGGGGCAGAGCCCGACCCCCCGGCTGTCCCCTCCTGTCAGGAGCTGTGCAGAGCCACAAGGTCCCCCCTGAGCCTCCTTTTCTCCAGGCTGAGCCCCTTCCCAGCTCCCTCAGCCTCTCCGGGGGCTCCAGCCCCTTCCCAGCTCCGTTCCCTGCCCTGGACACGCTCCAGCCCCTCAGTGTCCTTCTGGCCATGAGGGGCCAGAACTGGGCACAGCCCTCAGGGGCCTCAGCAGGGCCAGCACAGGGGACAGGCCCTGCCCTGGTCCTGCTGCCACCCCAGTGCTGGTACAAGCCAGACCAGGGTGTCTCCCAGCTTGCCCTGCCCCACTCTGTTGGTGACCTGCCTTTTGCTTTCATCCCTGCAGCAACCCCAAAGTGCAGATCGAAGCCATTGAGGGGGGTGCCCTGCAGAAGCTCCTGGTTATCCTGGCCACAGAACAGCCCCTGGCCGTCAGGAAGAAGGTAAGAGCAAAGCTGGGTTTGTGCTGAGCTCCGTGTAAACACCCTCAGGACATCTGGAGGGTGTGGGACGCCTGCTGCCGCCCAGGCTGGGTGGGCTTCACTCCCAGGGGTGCAGAAGGGGGGCTCTGGGTACCAGGGCACCTCAGCAGCACCGGTGCACTCCCCTGGCTGTGGGTGTCCCCCCAGTGCCAGCAGTGGCTCTGCCAGCCTGCAGGGACAGCACGGTGCCACAGATCCTGGGGGGCACAGGCGAGGGTCCCCACGGCAGCAGAGCCATCACAGGCTGACAAACACGGGAGCTGACGTTTGGAGGAACTAATTGCTGCAGCCAGCCCCGTGTCCTGCCTTTGGCAGAGGCTTTGGAGCAAGGAGCAGCACCGAGAGCCCCAAGCCAAATGTGCAGCGCTGTCCATCGGGCTGGGGGCTTCTTCACCCCCTCCCTCCCTCCCTGTTGTATTCCCTGGAGCATGAGATCCCATTACCTTCACTTTAGTGTGTGATGCCACCTCTGGAACACCACCTGGCTGCTCCCAAAACTCCAGCCCTGTTTTCCACAGGGGCCTCCTGCATGAGGGGTCCAGCAGGGTGGGGGGACCACTGGCTCTTCCTTTCACCTGTAATGAGCTCCCTAAAATATGTTCCCTTTAACCCTGGTAAGAGTCCTCCAGCAAGTGAAAGGCACAGGAGAAAGCTGTGGAATCCCATTGCATTTGGCCATGGAGGTGAGGAGATCCCACGGGCTGATCCATGCTCAGAAACTCCTTCCAGGAGCGCCTGTGGCTCAGCCCAGAGCTCCTTTTGGAGTGGGGAGGGATGGCTGGGCATGCCAGGCTCGCACACATTGCTGTGAACCAGAGGAGCTCTTTCCAGTGACCTGAGTGCATGGTGCTGGCAGAAATGAGAGGGGTGGGCTCAGTATTGTCCACGTTCACACACAGCTGTAAGGGACCCTCCAGGGGTTGAAGCCTCTTTTCCAGGAGGACAGAGGTGTTAGTTCGCAGTTCCCGTGCTGTGTGCAGTGTCCTGTGTCTCAGACAGGTTCCCAAGGCCGGGCTGTGCCCCGGCCCGTTCCTCACAGGGCAGCAGCCCCGGGCTCCCGCTCCGGTGGTTTTTCCACCGCGCTGCTCATAGCCCTGCACGGCAGCGAGGCCAAGAGTGCATTTCCTCTGGCCCACCGTTCAAAAGGGAGACAGCAGCACCGCAAATTCACCAGCAGCAAGGCGGAAAATGGAAAATAGAAGCGAAGGGGAGCGGGGAGACGCGGCTGTCAGCTCGGATCAGGCGGCGGGCCCGGCCCCAGGGCGCTGCCCCGGCCGTGCCCGCGCTGCAGAGCCGGTCTGGGACAGCGGCGTGGGGCGGGCCCGAGCTGCCCCTCACAGCACCTGGGACAGCGGCGCGGGGCGGGCCCCGAGCTGCCCCTCACAGCACCTGGGACAGCGGCGTGGGGCGGGCCCGAGCTGCCCCTCACAGCACCGACCTGGGCCGGCCCCGAGCTGCCCCTCACAGCACCTGAGGCACCACAGTGCTGGGCTGGCCCCGAGCTGCCCCTCACAGCACCGACCTGGGCCGGCCCCGAGCTGCCCCTCACAGCACCTGGGACAGCGGCGTGGGGCCGGCCCGAGCTGCCCCTCACAGCACCTGAGGCACCGCGGCGCTGGGCTGGCCCCGAGCTGCCCCCTCATGAGGCACCGCGGTGCTGGGCCGGCCCCGAGCTGCCCCTTCATGGGGCACTGTTGTGCTGGGCTGGCCCCGAGCTGCCCCTCACAGCACCGACCTGGGCTCGGGGTACTGCGGTGCTGGGCTGGCCCCGAGCTGCCCCTCACAGCACCGACCTGGGCCGGCCCCGAGCTGCCCCTCACAGCCCCTGAGGCACCGCAGTGCTGGGCTGGCCCGAGCTGTCCCCTCACAGCACCGACCTGGGCTCGGGGCACCGCGGCGCTGGGCTCTGGCTGTGCGCGGGGCTGCACCCTGACAGGGCCTGGGCCGGGCTGGGGGACATCATGGCCTTGTCCTCACACTGTGGGGGTGTGGGGACATCACCCCTGGCATCCAAATCACCTCGTAGGGATGAGGCTCTGCCAGCGGCGCTGGACACTCCTCACCCCATCCCATGGCCGGACTCTGTGCCTTGTGGGGGTGAACAGGGAGGAGTGATGGGTGGGTCTGTCAGGGGCTGGCCACAGGCCACAATGACAGCCTAGATAACTGCTTGGATGGAAGTACCCAAGATTTGGCAGCCTTGCAGTGCTGGGGAGGATTGGGATTGCAAACAGGACTGCTGGAGATGTCCCTCAGCAAGGAGAGGCTGGGATGCATTTTCCATGGAGCTCTGCGCAGGTGGGCTGGAGCGTGAATGTCCCCATGGGGTGCCATCAAGAGGGGCTGTGCTACATGGGGAGGCCATGGCCACCATGCTGATTGCCCTCTCTCTCCACCAGGCTCTCTTCGCTTTGTCCTCCATGCTGAGGCACTTCCCCTATGCCCAGCAGCAGTTCCTCAAGCTGGGTGGCCTCCAGGTGCTCAGGAGCCTCTTCCGGCAGAAGGGGATGGAGCCCCTCCATGTCCGTGTGGTGACACTGCTCTACGACCTCATCATGGAGAAGGTGAGAGCTGGGGTGGCACCTGGCCAGGCACTCCCCACCTTCACCCCCAAACCCAGCCAGGCCTCAACAGCCTCACAGGATGAGGATGAGGAGAAGCCAGCCCAGCATCAGTGGGGATGAGTCCCCTTCAGCCCCTTGGCCAACACTACATGAGTGCCTGGGGGAACCCAGAGGAGCGGAAACCTTTGTTTGCCTTCAAGTCACTGCCACATTTCCTCCCGAGGATGTCTGAACAGCAGGACAGTGAGGACATGAGTAGGGAATGCTGGCCCTGGGCTGTGGTGTCCAGCCAAGGCCAAGGGACAGGCCAGCTCTGCTGTGTCCCTGCCTGCCAGAGAGACCTTTGCCTGCTGCACATCCCTTGCTGGAGCCCAGCCTGCCACGTTCCATATTTTATTTTCAAATACCCTGGATTACTGCTCTAAGTGTCAGTTTAAAGCCTGTCTTTCCTTGCCATGGCTTGTTGTTCAGTCTGTGTGTTTCCCTGACTCCAGAGAATGGGAATTAAATCCACTCTGGCTCAGTTTATGGCCAATTTGCCCTGCGGATTATGGCTGCTCTAATACCTGGGTTGCAGGCACGGCAGAGCAGCACCTCTCTGTTAAATCAGTTATTTTCCAGGAGACTTTGTAAAGGTGCAAATTATTTTAGCAGGTCTGAAATCTTATCAGGTGCTACCTCTAACATGACCCTGTCAGCTCCATGGGAAAAGAGCAGACAAGGGCATTTTGACTCAAACTATTCTCATTTGATCCTGCTGCCCATTTCCCAGCTCTCCCCTCCAGCAGCCCCATCTGTTCTTACCTCCGTGGGTCTGGGGCAGGCACAGCCTGGCAGATTCTCGGGTTTCTGTTAAAACAACAATTTTTAGCTGTTCTTTGGATTGGGAATGCTGTACCCTGGGTGCTGAGGTGTTGCTCTGAGCTGAGGTGGCAGGTTTGGGATGGGCTGGGTGACTGTCAGATGGATTGGTTTGGAATCATAAAGCACCCTGGCAGCTCTCAGTGCAAAACTGAGCGAGTCACTGGTGCTCTGAACAGCTCCTCCTGCCACATTCCTTCCTTTTCACCCCGAATCCTGCCTGCACTTCAGCAGGCAGCTCTCAAGAGGACCAGGAGCAGGGAGATCTCCCTGGTGTTGTCCTTCCTTGTCCCTGTCTGGAAATTTCAGCCTCTCTGCCACCTGAGCCCCAAAGGGCTCACAGGATGATGTGGGGGAGTTTCCCTTCCTCCCCCTGGCCCCCATGCCCCTCTGGGCTGGTCTGTAAGAGATCCAGCCCTCTGCAGAATTTCAGTACTGGGGTTTTCTGGACCAGGCTGGGAGGGGAAGGTCTGGCTGTGGCTGGAGGAGACTGAGATCCCCATCTCTGGGAGGATGATGTTCATTAGGTGCTGCAGGCACCTGTCAGCAGGAAAAAGCTTCAGGCCAAAGATTTTACAAGTCCTGCTGAGCTTCCTGAGTCCCCTCTCAGGTTGTGTGACATAGAAACCCCCAGTCCCTGGGAATTTTCCAGGGTGGACAAACAGCCCCTGTGGCCAGGGAGCCAGGACACAACCTCGGTCTGGTCTGTTGTGGCAAGTCCCTGTCCACGGCAGGTGGTACAGGACACGCATCCTCCTCTACTGTGTCACCTCCTGGGAGCAGTTCCTCTGTGACAGGGACATTAATCTGTGTTCCACCACTTCCACAGATGCTGCTTGAGGACTCCCAGCACGGAGAGCAGATGGAGGAGAAAATCCAGCAGTACCAGCAGGTCAGGCTGGTGCCGGCGGTGGTGGAGCAGGGCTGGTGTGCCCTGGTGCCCAACCTGCTGGCCATGCCCGAGCACGACACCCGCGAGAAGGTCCTCAAGCTGGTGGGGGTCCTGGTGGCCTTCTGCAGGGAGCACTACCGCGGGGACCCCGCCCTGGGCTCCGCCCTCAGCCTCCTGCGCAGCGAGTACGAGGAGCTGGCGGCCGAGGAGCAGAGGGAAGGGGACAAGGACGGCTACTTCAGGGAGCTCCTGGGCTCTGTAAACACCATCATCCAGGAACTGAGGTGAAACTGGGGGTTCTGTCCAATTCCAGGGATTTCAGGGTGACAGCAAGTTTGGATGGCACTGGTGCAGGCACACTTTGGAATAAAATGCTGGACTAAGCGAGATCTCAGCTCTGTGTGCCAACGTCATTATTAAAATACATTGGGCTGTGGGGAATGTCTTGTTTTCATGGCATATTGCTGGAAGAATGGAGGAGCACAGGGGAGGGAACAAGCTGGGGGCTCAGCTGGGGAATTTGGGAGTTGCAGAAAGGGAACAAGCGGTGTTCCTGTGGGGGCTGTGCTTGTGTCACTCCCAGGAGGGGATGTTTGAATCCCTGCACTTCCTCCAGGCCTGGCAGAGCCCAGCTGGTCCCTTCCATCCCCCAGCCCTTGCAGGGCTCTGCCACCACCAGGGATGGGCACAAATGCCACCAGATCCATCCCCCTCTCTGACCCTGCAAGCACCGGGCTTTGTGCTCAACTATTTGTGGCTCCCTTGTACAGTGTATCATTTGTCACTGTTAAGTAGCAGGGCTGATTATAACGGTCAATTCTTTTTTATCTTTCTCTTTTTGGGGTTTCTGGCTGTTTTGCTGGCATTATTTTTTTTTTTTTCCTATTTTTATCTGAAATGCATTTCCTAGCCAGCCTTGCCAAGGCTTTGCTTTGTACGTTTAAAAAATATATATATATATCTGATCGTAACAGCCAGGACAAGGATGGGAAGGGGCTTTTCTGCTGGAAACCTGAACCTCTGGAGTGATGCCAGGCCAATCAGGGATCCAGCAGAACTGGAGGGGATCAGCACAGGGATTTCTCAGGCCCTGCCTTGCTTTGTCACTGTGTCACAGCTGGATTTAAGGTGGGGATTGTGTAACACTTCCTTAGGGAATGAGCCAAGGAGAAAACCACTAGCAGCCTCCCTGTCCAACCCCAAAGCCAAAACTCCACTCACTCTTCCTAAAAGTCTTAAACCTGGCAAGTTTTTGAACAGGGGCTCACTGTGCTGGCCCTGGGGATGGAAAGGTGCCTATGGGCTTCCAGGGCAGCTCAGGGGGGAGCAAGTGGTGGCTCTTGGTCAGTGCCACTCCGTGCCAGCCCTAGGATGGCCCTTGTGGCCTGGGATGCCTCAGGAAGTGCTGGTCCGGTGACCCCCCCGGGCTGTTTCCCGCACACGGGCAGAGTGACACAGCCAAGGATGAGCAGCACTCAAAGGAGGCCAAAAAATGATAACAAATAACAATTTTCTGGCAGTGCTGCTCCTGAGGCACTGGGCCCTGGCAGGGCACTCCTGGGACAGAGGCTGTGTGAGGCCCTGGGCAGCGCTGGTGTCAGGGACCCCACACCACACCCTGTGTCCCCCTGCCCAAAGGGCTCCAGGCTCTGCAGGAGGGTTGGTCTGCAGGAGCCCAAGGAAGGGTGGCCAGGGGGAACCCCTGGACTGTGGCCACCTCCTCTCTACAGCTCCTGCAGGTCTCGGGGGTCATGTCCAAACACTGGCAGTGTGGCTGGGCAGTGGCACAGGGAGGTGGTGACAGCAATGGAACCTCGGAGGGCACCAAGAGCTGCACCATGGGCAGCCGTGGCCAAGGCTCAGCCTTGGGGGCTGCAGCCAAAGTGGGGCATTCTTCTGCCGTGTGCATGGCCATGTGTCCCCAGAAGGTGACAGGGAAGTGCAGGCGAGCCCTGGGCTGCTTTCCCTGCCACAGATGCCACCCAGGCTGGTGTCCCCACTAATGACAGCTCTGTGTCCCAAACAGTGCTGCTGGCCCGCAGCCTGGGGTAATGACAAGGCTGCTGCTCCGGCAGGGACAGGGTCAGGGCCAGGGCTGAGCCAGTCCAGCCCCAGCCCCTGTGCAGAGCCAGCCCCCCAAATTCCTGCAGGCACCGAGCAAGGCCGGGCTGGAGTGGCCCCAGGGCTGGGAGGTCCTGGGGCAATGGAAACCTTGGGTAGGGCTCACCGGACCCCTCCCAGTGCAGGTCTGGGAGGTGGGATGGGCACTTCCATCCTGAATTTTGGAGCTAACAGGGTCCCCCCATCCCTCCAGCTTCAAGAGGGGCTCAAGCATTAAGCACTGGACTCACAGGGGGCCAAGACCAGGAGCAGCTCCCACTCCTTCTCCTTGCACCACAGGAGCATCAGGAGGGACGCGCTGGCTCAGCCTGAGCTCCCCAAATCCTGGCGGCCTTTGGGAAGGAGCGGCTCAGAGCAGAGCCCACGGGCTGTGTCCCCTGGGACACTCCCCAGCCCCCGCCAGCCGCAGCACAGCTGGCCTGAACCCACTGGAGCAGCTGATGGGCCTTAATGGATTTTTCCTTTTCTCACCCATTTGTTGGGGAGTTGAATGCACTGGCGCCTCCCCACCCTCTCTGCTCTCTCCTCAGTTTTGTGTTTGAGGTTTGGCTGCCGTGACCTGGTTTGGACCCCGCAGCTGTGCCAGCAAACACAGCTCGGGGTGCCCCGCTCCCGACACATCCCCAAAGGCGCTGGGAGCAGGGAGGGCTCCGAGTGGGAAAGGCGCTCATTAACGGCCATTAAATCGTGGCACGGAAACTTCACACACAATTAAAGCGGCATAAATTCAACGTGGCTCCATTCACCGCGGAATTGAATTAAGAGCACTTGAAATCTGGAATAAGACTTATCTCCTGAGGATTTAATGTGGTTTCACTAATACACTTTAGAAGATAATGTGGGTTCATCTTCCTGAGATCCCTTCACTGCCAGGTCTGCCGGGCTCTGGCACGGACCCAGCAAAGCTGCTATCCCACTACACTGCAAAAAAAAAAACTCCAAAAAACCCCCCCAAATGTCTTCAAATCACTAAAAAACACCCCAAAACAAAACAAAAAACACCAAAACAAAACAAACAAAAATCCCAACAAAACAAAACAACAAAAAACCAAAACCCCTCCAGCACGTCCTCCGGCGTGTGCTCCGAGGGGAGCAGCCGTGGGGAGCGGGCAGAAACTCCCACAGCCCTTCCCTGCCCGAAGCTACGGAGGGCAGAATTGGGAGGTGGGTTTGCTCCTCGCTCCCTCCCGAGCCGAGCATCGCGCTCCGGCAGCGACAGCGACGGCACCCGGCGCTTAATTACCCGGAGCAGTAATTACTGTAATTCTCTCCAATTGGCTCCCTAATAAAGTCACAGCTTCGCTGGCGGCCGGACCCCCTCGCCGAGCCGCTGGAGCAGGGCTGGAGTTCCCGACACGGGATCGGCGCTTTTGGGTTTCCAACTCCCGACCCGCCCGGGCTGGGGTCGCTCCGGGATGAGGAACTGCCCTGCCCTGCCCCAGGATCCGCCGCTCCCCAGCCCCGCTGTCACCACCACATCCCAGCTACTGAAATTGGGATTTCGTGACACAAAATCCCCCCTCTTCTAAGGGGAGAGGTGTTTTCTCCCCTCCACTCGCTGCTGCTGCACTTCTCACCGCAGCAATTAAGCGCTACACCAATAATGATTCACCTCGATGCCCTTCTCTGCTCCAAACCCAAACGCAATTCCCAGAGGAGCAATTCTTGGGTACAAAAAGGAGTTGAGGTTTTTTGGCCTCCTGTCCCTATCGCGTTCCTGCTGCTCCTGCACCTCCTGGGGCTGTAGCTCTCACCAGGGGAACCACTTTTAATTTCTTGATGCTCAATGGTTGTAGCATAAATTAAACTAACCTGTATTTAAAAGATAAATAAGTGTAAATTTGTCTGCACATCCTAATAAAGGTTATTTTAAAAAGCTCATTAATAGATTGTATTGGGGGAGGCACTGGATGTAGTGCCTAAACAGCCCAGGGAATGTCACCTTTAAGACAATAGCAGAAGAAAAAATACCCACATTGTATAAATTCAGTTAATAATTATCTCTACAGCCTGTTAACCCCCAAATGGCAGTGGAGCACAGCTCCCCCTCCAAGCCTGTTTACATGTTAAGGGTGTCTGAAAACAGCCTATCATTCCACTATTTAATAGCTGTACTCAAGAGGCTAAAATGCTTGAAAACATAATACATTTGGCAAAAATATCTCAAAAACTATTTAGCTTAATTATGATCAGCATTACAGTAACATGACAGCAATAACCTTAATACAGTAAATTATGAGCTGATTGAGATAAATAAAATTATAACATTTCAGTGCCAAGGTTCAGCTCTAAAACGGAGCTGCATTTCAGACACAGACTCCAGCCCAGGCTTTTCCAGCTCCACAGGAAGAGGCACCGCGGTGCTGCCCCGTGCCGGCACCGCTTCCCTGCACTCGATTCGACTGGGACATGTGAAACACAGTGAAATTCATAAAATTTAAATAAGACAGCGAAATTATACCTTGTAGCTATAGTTATCACAAATAATGTACAGTCTAAATTGCAGCCTGAGCAAACACGATTTCCTGGGTGCCTCTGGAAGCCCAAGGCGGGATGCAGAGCAATTATGAGGAATGAGCACAAAGCTGATTTGCATCTGAATGGCGAAGGGGGGGCGATGGGCGGGCTGGGTCCGCTCCATTCACACTACCACAATGCACCAGCTGGGAAAAGCAACTTTATTAGTGTCCCGCAGCAAAAATACATTAGTAATTTGTAACCAGGCATTACAATTCCGTCCGTGTCCTGCAGAGCGATCGGCCGCCCACAGCGGGGGAGGTTTCCGCGGGGATCGGCCCCGGGAGCTCCCCCGGCAGCGGAGCCCTCCGGAGGGAGCGGTGCCAGGAGCACAGGGAACCCCGGAGGGCTCCGGGGCAGCCCGGGAAAAGCAGCAGCACGGCCCCAGGACACCACCGAGCCCACTTCTGAACACAATCCTCAGCAAAGCTCGGCCCAAGCACGGGTGTAGCGTTTTTCCAGCTGTTTTCCAGCTGTGCTCACACAGCAACTGCCTGCTGCAATTTCAAACTCCTCTGAGCTTGCTCCCTTCTCCACCCCCACAGCAGAGATACACTATCACATACATACTTTATAATTCATTTTTTTGAGTAAAAAAATCTAATTTTTCTCTCTTGATCACCATGAAAAACTGAGTCTCTGAGTAGCATGATCCAGTACTAGTGTTAACCATTAGTGTTACTGTAAAATCCTCTTTGGTTATAGAATATTTCATTTAAAGCAAGATTATAAAAAACAGTTTCCAGCTAGAAATCCACCCCTGTAAACTAAAAGCCATCTAAATTACCACACTTCTGCAGGCTGAAGATACACTGATAGGACTTAGAAATTTAAGTATCTCCCCAGGTAATCTAAACAAAGTTATCAAAATTATATTAAGTAAATACATTTGGAGGAATAGTAAATTTTTGAAAAATCCTTAGGGTATTAAAAGTAGAGTTCTGGAAGTAGCAGTGGTGGGCTAGAGAAAAACACCCCCGAGCCAGAGCTCTCCTCTAGATACTCTCCATGGCCTTGAACTCGCTGAGGGCCTGCACGGGGTTCACGTGCTTCTTCTGGGATGCCCTCTTGATTTTCGTCTGGGTCTCGTCCTGTTTCTCCCTCTTGACCAGGGGTTTCTTCTCCGGAGCCTTCATCTTCCAGGAGACGGCCGGCAGGTTGAGGGAGGCCATGCCCTGGGACTTCTGGTACTTGGTGGACGCCACGTAGGAGGCCTTGACCGTCTGCACCACGGCGTTCATCAGGTTCTTGGCTGCCTGGATCAGGGACATGGCACTGTCCACCTGCCAAGGGACACAGAGTTACACACCACAGACCCCCAGGCACGGTGTTCCACTGAGAGCACCACAGGCCTGTGGGTAAAACCACTTGAAAACTCATTTATGTTTTTCATTTGAAACCTGAGGCTCCCAGTTTGAGGCAGGATTTTCCTTTGGATGTTCAGTGGTTACAAACCTGATCTCTGCCTCCAATACAAAAACAGGGTTTGCCCCCCTGTATGCATTTTCCATATCAATGGCAATTGGCAACATTTGTATTCTGCCCTTTGCTTTTGTGACTAAGCTTTAATAGTTGCTTATTCTCTAATGAGATTAATAAAGCTGTAGTAATATCTTAATCACTGATAATAAATATTTAAATTGCCCTAGAATACTAAATTGTATTGGGAAGGAAGGAACACAACTACATCACCAGCCAGGCCTGGAGCCCTTTCCCAGCTGGTTCCTGATTTACAAGAGCATCAAAACAAGGAAAAACATGAATTTGTCAAAGCTGTAGGGCACAGCGGGGACAAAGAGCTGAGACCAGGCCTGGGTGGAAGAGAGGGGAGGAGCGCTGTGGTGATCTCAGCTAGGACCCCCTTCTCCAGGGGCAGGTGTCCTGCTCTGGGTGGGATCCCCGGCTTGTCACGGCCAAATGGTCTGGGACAGGGGTTTGATCTGGGGCAGGGTTTGGTTCTGGTGGCTTTTATGGGGCACTGTCCCCTCTCTTCTACCCCACTGTGCCCCAAGTGCCACCGTGGCACCTGAGATCCTCTGGCACACCCCTGTGCTCTGCCTTCCCTCTCCTGAGCCTGGAAACCACCGTGCTGGAGTGTTCCATGAATCCTCAGGAGGAATCATCAATGCCAGGAGAGCAGGGAGGTGCTTTTCTGAATGACTGTCAGACTCTGCAGGTGCCAGCTCTGCCCACCTGGACCCTGCTCTGCTCTCGCAGCACTCTGGAGCATGGGCAGGGCATTAACACTGGACAGAACTCTCCTTTCAGAGTGCTGGTGCCTCTGGACTGGCTGAGGTCTTCATCTGACCCTCAGCCCCAGTGGACAGGCTTGAGGAGAAGGGATAAAACCAGGAGATCAGACTACAGATCCAGGCTGTTCTATCATTAATTTATGGCAGAGGGGATGTAAATCCTGGAGACACTGAGCAACTGCAGTGAAGCCCTGGAGTACAGTAACACATCTCCTGCTTTGACAGCATCATGCCTTCAGCCTTCCAGCTCCCAGGACATGAACAGCAGCACATCCCACCACGTCCCTGGAGCTGCTCTGGAGGCTGGAAAGGGAGCAGGGGGGGCTGGAAAGGCAGCAGGAGGGGCAGCACAGCCCCATCACCCCCAGCCAGGCTCAGCTCCTGCAGGGATATCTATTGCTGACTGCTCCTGCTGCTGCTGCCCCAAAGTTCTCCTTCCAAAGCTCTCCCTGTTTTTTTGGGGGAAATCTGTGCTACTAAATTTAAGCAACTGAAATATCAAACAGGGTTTCACTGGAAAATATCAGTGGCAGAGGATGCCCAGGGAAGCTGTGGCTGCCCCTGGATCCCTGGCAGTGCCCAAGGCCAGGCTGGACAGGGCTTGGAGCAGCCTGGGACAGTGGAAGGTGTGCCTGCCATGGCAGGGATGGCACTGGATGAATTTTAAGGTTCCTTCCAACCCAAACTGTTCCATGATTCTGTGGTATCAAAATGGCAGAATATGAGAAATTTTCTTCCATTTGCTGATCAGAATTCAGGGAGCAATTCAGGGCCAATTCTGTCTCTTCTTCCAACCTCCTTCCTCAGGCCTGACATGGCTGGGCAAAAGCACCAAAAGTGACCAAATGTGCGTGTGCAGGACAACGAAGAGGATGCCAGAAGAAATGAAGAATTCAGCTCCACTTCCTTACCCCCAAATATCTGTCATACAGAATTGTCTTAGGAGGCAGCATTTCATGAACTACAGTGAAAAAAATTATTTGCAAAGTAATGGCTGGAATAAAGAAGCAAGCTGGCCTGGGGCAGCTTCCAGCTGTCAGAAACCAGAGCAGCCACTAAAAATCCCTGCACTCTTCAGGGCACAGCCATCCTGAGATATTAACATCTCTGGAGCGTTGCAGGACCCCAGCATGTTCCAAGGCTGTGCAGAGATGTGGGGCAGGGTTAGCTGTGCTGATAAAGTGATTTAACCTCACTAAGAGTGAAAAGCAGTTTGGAAAACAGATTACACAGAGGTGAAGTGAATCTGTCTGCAAACACTGTTCAGTAAGGAAATTGCTCCAGCATCTCCAGCCTCTGTTCTGAGGTGTTTAACACAAAAGCTCAGCGTGCAATGACCCTTCCCTGGGTGTCGGAACCCAAAATGTCCCTCAGACATTTTTAGAGGTTCCGGGCCTTGGTCAGAAGCATTTTAGACCCTGGCAAGCAGCTGAAAACAGCTGTGATTTTGAGTTTGAACCATGGAATGAATTACCAACTTTGAGGGTGGAACAAGCAGTCACAGAATGTTAGATGGTATAGTAAAAGTAGTCACAAATTAGAGGGGAAAATTTTTTAGTGTTGTACAGGGGGGTTTTAGTACCTGTACAGGGGGGTTTTCACTTTGTACAGGGGGGTCAGGAGTTCTAAGATGGAGGAAAGTGGTCCTTATCTTATTCTTCCTCCTTCTTCTTCCTTACCTCCATGTTCTTGGTGATGTTGGCACTCACAGATTGGTTTAGAGTAGAAAAGCACATTGTAACATAGATAGTAGGTATTGGGGAAAATCTATAAACATATAATACGTAATATATCATATAAAAGATAGTAGCAGCCCTGGGTGGGGAGAGAGACGACGGAGACACCGGACAGTGAGGTTGTCAGGAGAGTGTGTGCCTCTGCCTGGGCCGCAGACCAAAGCAGCCGCAGCAGGCGAGGACAATCTTTTAGATAACCAGCAATAAACTACCTTGAGACCGAACAACAAGAGGCTGCGGAGTTTTTCTTTGGAAGCACGGGTTGGAGGAGAGACTTTACCACCACACGAGAGCCCCAAATCAATCCCGGGGTTCTCACACCTGGGGGAGCAAAGCTGCCTGAGCAGCCGTGTGCCATACGTACCCCGGAGACGACGAGCTCCCCGCCCAGGTTCTGCACCTCGGCCTTCACCTTGCTGCAGATGTTGAGCTGGTGGCAGTAGAGCGCGATGCGCTGCAGGTACGCCAGCAGGTCCTGCTTGCACGCCGAGTCCGGGCACTGCGGGCGACACGGCCACGTCGGGCTCTGCCGCTGGGGCAGGAGCCTGACAGCTCCAGGCACCTCCCCCGGAGCAGGGGATGGGCTGGACAGCGCTGCCCTCCCTGCTGAGCCTGGCTTGGAGACAGCTGAGCAGCGTGAGAGGATCTACAACCCGGGAGCCGTGAGCAGGGCCAGCACTGCACAGGCTCCTTCCACTGCCCTTCAGCAGGGAGGAGGAAGAGGAGGAACAGAAGGAAGAAGAAGAGAAGGAGGACTATTTACCCCCCTCATAGCAGGTCTGTCAGCTGTAAAAGGTCCTTCCTGTACTGCTCAGGACACAGCAGCGATGGTCTGACACCCAAGATCCCAAGCTTCAACTAGAAGGTGTAACCAATTCCTCCTTCAATCCTCAATCTTAAGTATTCCAAGCTCAAAAATGATAAACTTGACAGCAACTCAATTACATGCAGCAAACAGATTTTCCTGACTTCTGCTCCCATGTTGTAGCAGTGGGGAAAGCAGGTTTCTCAGCAGGCACAAAATGACATTTTTAAGGTGCTTGCTGCAGCAGTTATCCATAAGAGAAAGGAAACTTTTTCAGCTTTGCACACAAAGCTCTGCTGGAGTCCCTCTGTGCACTTTGGGAAGGTGGCATTTTCTGGGACAGAACTGAAGAATGAGCCATGGATGAGCCAGGCTCAGGCTGGATTTCCAGATCAGGGGGAGCCCAGCTGAGGAGCAGCCACAGTCCAGAGCAGGCTCTGCAGGACAAAAAGGCTGTGGGAAGGGTTCTGCTGCTCACAGCAGCCCTGCAGCCCCTTTAGGAGCAGCAGCAATGGGGTGCCAGCAGCAGGTCTGCCATGGGCGGGCACCCCACATGCTCACACACACACACAACACCTACAGCTTCACATCCATGTGATTTACAGCACACTGGGTCACACCCCATGTTGCTTAAGCTCTGCTCTGATCCCCAGAGAAGCATCACTTGTTGTACCCCACAGACAGCTCCTGTTCCATGGAAATAGTCACTCCTCATCTCATCTTCCCACCCAGCATCCACCATCAGACTCCCACCTATCCTTATCTCCTGCTCAAGGCAGGCTCACTGTGCCCAGCATTATGTCAGCTGCAGCAGTGGAAGTCACCTGGCATTACACCCTGCAGGGATTTCCACCCTTCTGGACAGCTGCACCCCATCCAGAATGATTTAAGAGCTCTTTTTCACACACCCCTGTTCACAGCAAAATCTCATTTCACCTAAGACCCTGATTCTGTGCAATGGACCATCTGATGAAGATTCATAATGGACATGGCACGACTGGAAGATTAATCTTCAATGTGGCACCACTTCATTACTTAATGCTTCACTCCAGCTGAGGGTTGTTGCATTGGCATGCAGCTTCTCCCCCCCTTTGAGGGCAAGGTAAAAATCCCCTCCTGGCTGTGAACAGCAGGCTCTGAGCCCTGGTTCTCCCTGCAGACTTTCTCTCCTTAGCTATGAGATGGAAGCAGAAGCTCTTTTCTTTGTATAAAAGAGGAGCAGACCATGGTGCACACACAGGGATGTGCAAACAGGGTCCCACTCACATAGAGCATTTCCTTCCCAACAGCACTCAATCTGCCAGAACAGGCATTTCCCTCTGCAGTGAAGGTGAGTGCAGCTAACACATACATTTGTTTTTTTCCAGGGCCAGAACAAGTGGCTTTTTTAAGGCAAAGTGGTCTCTGTGCTGAGCAGAGGAAACTCAGGTGCTGCAGTGATGTGCACACAGAGCTCACACACACACAGGGGCATTGCACTGGGAGATCTGCATGGCTTCATGGCATCTGACCCCAGCAACAGACAAAAAAACACCTTCTTAGCCTCAAGGAAAAGGATGGAACACCCAAAGTAATTGCAACCCTCAGCGTGGGCACACAGCTTCCATCAGTGTAGTGAAGCCCTGTCGAACAAAGCAGCAAAGCTTGCAGGTTAATTTTTTAAGTTAATCAATATTAGTCAGCAGTACAAGATGTTTAAGAGCAAGTCCACAAATAGCCCTGGCCAAAGAGCTAATGAAAAGCCCAAATTACCATTTTGGAAACTGCTCTCCATCTCCCAAAGAGCTCATCTAACACAGCAAGTGAGCAGCACAGCACTGCAGGGGCTCGAGGCCTGACAAATGCCCAGTACAGCACGTCAGAGGTATGGATCAACAATTCCAGCTACTCTGTGGGGCTGGGAAATCCTTCAAGGAGGGACTCTCAAGGCAGGAGGCTGCTGCACCATCACCAGCAGCTGAGGAAGGCAGCAAAACCTTCGTGGAATAGGAATCATCACTGGGCTGTGCACATCAGCATGGTGTGAGATGGAAAGCCACATCCTCTCCTGTGTGTGCTATTTCTGCAGGACCGAGGACTCAGCTCAAAGACAGATGAGGTTTAAATGGAGATGTAACACAAGATAAAAAAGAGCAGCAACAAAAGGCACTGCGGGTGGCTGCAGGAGCCCTGTCCTTTTCTAGGCAGGAGCACTCGGATCCAAATCAAAAAACCCAAAAGGCAACAGTTTGAACACTGATTAAGAATGATGACATTCCTGGACTAACCCACAGCCACAACCCCCATCTGCAGAGCTGACATGGGAGGATTCCCACAGCTCAACCCACAGGGAGTGCAGTGCAGATGCAAATAAACGTGTTGGGGGACACCCCACCTTCTCAAACCCCCAAACTGAGCTGCTGCCACAGACTCAGGGAAGGTTACTGGCAAAGCTAAACTGGCTGCTTCAGGTCAAATCCAGGCTCCATCGTGGACACAGCAAACACCCCTCAATTTCAGTTCCTGCTGCCCCAGCTGAGCCTGCAGAGAAGCAGAATCACCCTTTTCTCTGTTTTTGCAGAGAAAAGGGGCAGGGGAAGACAGCAGAGCCCTGGTGGTGTGTGCTGATGGACACAGCCCATCCCCAGCGGCTGCAGGGGAGAGTCAGCAACCCCAGAGCTTCTTCCTCGCACTGCCTCTCCCTTTGGAAATGGGCCCTGCTGTGCCAGGAATTCCCAAAACATGCCCTCAGCCCCGGGTGCCAGCTGGGCCCAGCAGGAGCTGCCAGAAGCTGTTTTGGGGAGCAGCTCCTTGGCAGGATGGCACTGACCACGTGTGTCAGCAGCTGCCACCAGCCCAGGCCCAGGGTCCCCACCCCAGCCCCCCAGCCAGGGACCAGTCTCCCCAGCATGAGGCTGCTGGAGCCCTTTACTGGGAAGTGGGGCAACCCCTACCCTCACCCCCAGCTGCTTCTCAGTGGATCATCAGAGCAGATGTAACCTCAGCCTCCCGCTGCTATGAAAGGAAAAAAGGAACAGAAAGTTCATTTGGCTTTGTAGGTGCTTTGACATTCAAAAAATAAATAATAGAGAGAACCCTTGCTGCAAATCACTATCATCTGTGTTGTGCTCATAACTGCTTCATATTCCCCTGTTCCCAGCAAGCAGCAGCTGCTTGGAGTGAGGGATGGAAACCTCGGGGAGAACCTGCAGCTGATGGCAGAACTCTTCCCAACAGACAGGGAATTCCTGGGACAGCAGCTCTTGGAGCTGCAGAGGAATGTGCTGCAGGGAGCTGCTGGCACACTGACACACGGGGTCACAGCTCTGGAGTCACCCAGCACACAGGACACAGGACACAGCCCCTCTGTGCTCCCAGCCAGGAGCAGGAGAGCAGGAACCAGTACTGGAGCTGTCCCTGCTCTGTAGCTGTCACACTGCTCCACATTAACACGTTTCTAAAGAGTATGGAAGCACATCTAATGAAATATGCAGGCTCAAAGTATTAGCAGAGTATGGAGTCAGGAAAAAGCTATATTCTTGTCAAAATGACTAACTGTACAGTGCTGCTCATATTTATCTTCAAACACGTGCTTAATCTGTTACATTTTTAAGGACCTTGCTGGTACTATAAGTAGTTTTCTTTTATATTTTGAAATGGCTTAGTACAGAAAACCATATACCAATTTTGCATAAAATATGTGAATTAAAAAAAAAAAAGGAAAAGGCATTGTAAACCTTCAGCTCAAGTTCTCCTGAGACCTCGAACACAAACTGCTCCTTGCTTCATTTACCTACACCAGCAGCACACCTGGTTCTTGCAGAAACAAGGCTGTCAAAATGCTATAGCAAGGAAAGCCATTTAAAAAAACACTTATCAAATTTATCTCCCCATTGAACATTTCTCTCTGCATCATTAATAAAGGAGGGTGTAGACAAGCACCTCTGAAAGCAACATTAAGAGAGAGTCCTTCACTGCAATGATTTACTTTCAAAGTGACACCTATTACAGTTAAAAACTTGCACTACAAACTTCCATCCTGAAAAGGTCTGGAAAGTGAGTGACCACTGGAGAAAACAAAGTTTAGCCCATGATCTCAGACTCAACCTCCCTGCATTTCAGAGTCTCTCTTGAAGGTGGAATATTATTACTACTGTTGATGTTTCCCTGCTATTTGGGTGTGGGCTGTGGCCAAAGGTGCTCTTGCTTGGCCCAGTTTCTAAGTGGTTCAGGACAGGATTGCATAAATCCCTGAGCTGGCCATGCTGGTTCAGTCCTGTAAGAATTCCTTCCCAACACTGGGACAGCTCGGGTCACTGCAGGCCTTGCTCCAAGCCTTCATCAGCTCTGACTGGACAGGAAAAAACACCAGAGAGCTCTGACACCCTCCCCACTCAGTCTGTGGAAATTGTTCATCTTAAAAGCTGCCCCAAAACCAGAATGAAAGGTTGTGCAATGGGCCAGGGGCTGTTGTGCAGGCGCTGTCCCTGCAGCCTGTGCTCTGGGTGTGAGGTGAGCCCAGCCTGCGTCCTGCTCAGCACTGGCACTGCCCTGGCTCTATGTGACCTGAAGCACAAAGTGCCAGGGGTCTGATTCCAGCCAAGGAGCTGCTGTGTCACTGCTCAGGGAGGAGGGAGAGCAGCTGGACAGAACAGAAAGAACAGAATTTTCTAGCAGCAGATCCGGAAAATCAATTAAAACACCCCAAAAGCAAACACATTTTCATCTGTTCATCACGCCTGCAGCACTGAAAGATCTCTTGCTCCTTGGTGCTCCAGGAGGAGGCTCCAGGACTGTGACTTACGTGGTCAGCAATGGTCCGGCCCAGCTTGTCCATCCTGGACCCGGCCTCTGCGATCTTCTTGGCTGCACTGATCACATCTGAGGTGTTCTTCAGAGGACCTTTGCCCCTGCAAAACAGAGCAGACGCTCCCTCCTAGCACCAGGAAACCACAGCAGGGAATTCTATGTCCCTTTTCTGTCCCACACTGTGCTGGCAGTGACTCCTCACCCAAAGGGCAGGAAAAGACAGGAGCAGCCATTACAGCACCTTCATTTTCAAGAGTTACCCCCTTTCAGCTCTTCCCCACATTTAGCTTAAATCTAGGAATAAAAACATCTTAAATTTTACTGCTTTGAGCAGTTTAATGATGATAAGAGATAACATTTTAGAAGACAGATTTGCAATTTTTATGGAATGGAACATGAAGTTTAAAAAACAGTGTTATATAAAATCTGGTAAATTAATTTCAAAAGGCATCAAAAATCCTGTCTTTCCTCTGCAAATAACTGTACTAGGAACTATTTCTGCAGTATGGCAATATTGAGAAGCCCATAGAATTTAATGCTGTAAAGAACTGAGCAAATATATATATATATATATATATTCCTGGGGACAAGAATCACCCTTAAGAAAGAAAGGAAGAAAGACAGGCAATAACTGCTGTGTATCTGTAGATCAATTTAAACAGTTATTACCACCCAGCCACTGCACAATAATGCATCTCCCCAGTTAATATGCAGCTGGAACAGGGCACCATTTAAAAGAAATTATAAGAAATGAGACTCTTAGGAGAACTTGCACCGTGTCTCATTGAAAGCCCAGCAGCCCAGGCAGCTCGGAGTGAGCACAAATGAAAAAGCCTCACCTGGTGAAGTCTGTCATTTCCATCATGATCATACACATCTGTTTGGCCAGGACAATGATGTCATTGCCACTGTCGTCCCATTTTGACACTTCAGCATCCAATTTACTCTTCTCCTCCTGGAAGCTGGCGACCTGCTCAGCAATCTTGGCTTTCTGCTCTTGAGGGAGCTGAGCCATGATAGCCTGGAAGAGAAGAGTTTTCTCACATGGCTTCCTGCTGTCTTGTAGAGGCTTTTTGGAACATTTCACTAATAACCAATTTCAGTCATGTAGATGGGGGATAAAACTTTAATAGCAATCCTCTACCTAGAGGCTTTACAGAGCCATTTGCTTCCATTTTGAAACAAAGTTTATACTCTTTTTTAAGAAAAAGTGCCCAGAAAGACAAGTTGACACTTAAAATATGGGCCTTTGCGTGATAAAGCTGTTAAGACTCCAAACAAATTTGCCACATATTACCATCCCTCAAAATAAAACTGCATGAAGAAAGAGGACTTGTCTTTTACAGAAAATTTCAATGTTTTAAAATTAAGTTCCACTTGAGTATTGAGGATAATAAGAAATATTACCAGTCTCTTCCCTGCAAAAAGCTGGCTGTACTCTTTTGAAACATGTCTGCTGAGGAAAGAGTAAGTGAAAATAAAGAGTATGTGCTTACTCCCAAATAAAATCTCTCAGACTGGGTTTATAGCCTGTGTAAGACTCCATGGCCTTGCCTTCATAAATACTGGGAGCACAGATGCTTCCAGGAGCAGGCGAAAAGGAGCCTTTGCTACTAAAAATCCTCTGGCAGCAGCTGTGGTAAATGAGGTAAATGAGCAATGTCTGCATTTAAATACAAGGGGGTGAGGGTCCAGGCGTAGAAAATGCTTATGCAAGGGAGGGGAGCATAAAAATACTCCCAGCTAGTGTAATTCCCAAGCCAACCTGGCCCAAGTTTGATAAATATGGTCTGGCTACTTCTTGCCTGGCAGGAAGAGCCTCCACAAAAAATCTGCCATGGCACCTTCCCAAGAGTGTAAATTGTTATCGATCCAGAGGGGCCGTGTCAAAGAAAAGCAATAGGTAAGGCCTGGTCTTCCTTCAATGCACTGATTTTAGGGTTTCACCTCTTAATGATTATATATTGCCTATCAATGCTTTCATTTTTGAGTCACAGGAAATGCAGTTAGTTAAAATGATTTCATTTCTGAGTTCCTCTCAATGTTGTCTTGATAAATGCTCAGTGACCAAACTCCCACCAGCACGTGTGTGAGGAGACATTTTGGGAAGATTTTTTTCTCATAAAGTTAATGTTTGTCTGTTGAAAATAACATTAATCCAATTGAGTGATCTGCCCTGTACATCCCTGCAGAAGCTGACCCAACTACTGTGTCTGTGATATCAAAATGTGATGTAATTTCTTGGTCCTAAAAGGATTTTGATCTTTCAGAATACCCAAAATAAAACACTGATGTTTCTAACATCCATCAGACCAACTGCATTTCACTCAAGCTCCTTTTCAGAAGAATGCTGGAAACAAAGAATGCCAGTTTTCTGATCCAGCAAGTTTTATCATCACCCTCCCAAATTTAACCTGGGTTTTCAAAGCAAGCTGAAGTGTGCCTTGAAGGTAGGTCTGACTCTGGTAATGCTGAGGTTTGTGCCTTACCCTTGCACTCTGTCCAGCAATGAGCTGATCATCCTCAGTCTGGATGCTGGTTCTGCTTCGGACATCAAAATCCTCGGTCTCAAAGTCAGAATCATCCAGCTCTTCAGGAGTCTGAGGAAAAAGCATTCAAGCAGAGTCAAACTACAGATTTCACGGCTCTGAAAACCAACAAGAATATTATTTTTCAAGCAGAGAGAATGGGAATCAGTGGAGGTAAAAATTATTCCATGTTTTCAACAAAAAAGTAAATACAGGGACTGTATCCAGCTCTGAACACGTGTGGTTTTATGTGCTTGACTGCTCCTGTTAAACACCACAGGGATCCCCAGAATCACACAGCAGTAACTAAACAGCTGAGATTTGTTAGGACATTAATGCACTCAGCATCTGAAAGACAGAAAAAAGTTCTTGCAAAACGAACAGTGCTTTTGCAAGTTGATTAAATGTAAAAGCTTCATTGGAGATTCTGAAGCTGGAATTACACACAGCTCTAAGGGCTGGTTCAGAAGCACAGACAGTGTCTTCAGCACAATTATGAATCAAAGCATTGACTAAATTAACAACAGATAAAATATCTCAAAGTTTATCCTTATCCCTCGGGAAAAGCTGAAAAATTTCAGCTAGTAAGGGCCAGCTTTTATGCTGTAGGCTAAACACATCTGACCTAGTTCCTGCTTGCCTAGGATTTATTTTTGCTACTGCCAGTCTGTAGCTGGCAAACTTTTTATAAAGTCTATCAAGTTTAAACAGCATGTTTGTCAAAATACTACATCTTTGCTACAGTGGCACTTCACGACAATTCTCCAGAGCCGGGTCAAGAAAGAACTTCACTGAAAGATGTAATAAATTGTGATTAACAGATAAGATGCAAAAAAAAGTCCCTGTTCTTTAGGTTTTTTTCCTATGCTTTGAATTTCATAGACTTGTCTTCCACTACAGACACTTTGTGATACAGTGAAAATAGAGATGGACATGCAAAACAATTGCCAAAAAGCAAAGGTGAGTAGGGTGACAATCAAGACTTTGGGTTTCAGCCTCCTCTCCAGGCCCTGGAGAACAGGGCATATCCCCAAATCAACAGAGAGACACACACTACAAAGCAGCTCAGTGTATCAATATTTTTTTTTAAAAAGAAAAAGCAAAAAGAAAACAGTTCTGCTGTACATGATTTGTCTGTGACACCCTCTGCCCATCCCTCCCAAAGCCCAGGGACACACAAATTGTAACTCTGCCTTTCAAGTGCCACTAAGGGCAGAAGCTCCTCTGGAGTGACCAGCCTGGGCAGCAGGGATGGGGGAAGAGCTTCTCTTTAATAAATACAGATACAGTGAGATGGTAGTTTTGAAAATACCCTGCATAAACACAAAGAGGAGGTGCTGCAGTTGTTTCTCCTGCTGCTCCCTGTAAAGAACAAGAGCCTCTGGACAAAACTGAAGTGAATGAGCCCCTGTTGCTTACACCAAGCCCTGGAGAGCCCTAGGATCCCCATTGGGATGGCTCTTTTATCCCAAAATAAACTCTCTGGATGACAAGTGCTAATATTTTAACTTCCTTCTAGGTGGCTGCTGTGTGCCAGGGAGCTGCTGTTGGCTGCTGGCAGTGGAGCTGTGGCTCCCTGGCCCTGGAGGGTGGCACGGGGCAAACATCAGCATTCCTGGCACTGCCAGCCTGGGTAATTGCTGCCCATTGGGAGTGGCAGCCCAGCCTCCTGTCCTGAGTAACAAGGGCTTCAGCAGGGGTGGATCACACCCTCTGTCTGCACAGCAGGAAAGCTTTGATATCCTCAACTACCACTGGCTGTCTAAAAATCCCGAGCTTGTCTGAAAAAAATTCCATGGAAAGAACAGGTGTGGTTGTCAGCTTTTCCTCTGGATTCTCATCTGATTCTTTGCTTTAAGTAGCAAACATGGAAGATGCTGTTGCAATGGTTACTGTAATCACATATCTTCAGGGGCTGTACATTCTTAATTTACTGACCACCAAGCTGCATCTGCCATGGTCACCAGTCTGAAAGACCAAGGCAGTTTCTGAGAGTCAAAGGAATACAAGAAAAAGAAAAACATAAAGGAATAAACCCCCTATATTTGTCTTCATTATCTCTGGCTCCTGCCCATTTTTACCCCAGTAAGATCCAAGAAATAAGTCCATGGATCAGCTGCAACCAGAAGCATCCTTTTCTGCATCCCTTCAACCAACTGTGCGCTTCTGTGTCTGGCCTATACAAAATTAGAGCTCCCAAGTCACACCCACTGCAAGCACACAGGAGTCAAGGCTTCTGTGAGCTGCCCCTGTACACCCAGGTTAGCCAATTAACAAATTACATGCTCTAGGAACTACAGACTGAACTCATCTCAGCTTCCTTTTGACTAACTAACATTAATTCTCAAAATTTACTTAATGAAGAGCCATTAGGTTTTATTTCTAAGCTCTCAAACCATCAACAAGCATCTATAGTTCTGAATTAATTTGCTGTTGTTAACTGAAAGGTCACTGATTTTAGCACATTAACGAGCCAGGCATTACCATGAGATTACAAAAGATGTATGAAGGGTATTTAGCAACACAACTCCGGCCATCATCGACGCTCAGATCTGGTTAATGAATCTGAATCCAAAGGCACTGCTCAAGTGCTCCACAGCGATTAGCACATTTTAAGACTCTGAATGTTAATAGGAGCTAAATGAAAATTTTCTCCTGTCTGCTCTCCATTATGCTGAGGCTGTCAGAGGAATAGAGGCGGGGAAAGCTCACCCGGATCATCAGCACGGCTTTCCTGATGTCGCGGATGCCGTCGTACACCAGCCGGGAGGCGTCGATGAACTCGTTCTCGTCCATGGGCTGCGCGGGGTCGGAGCTCAGCGCTTCCACCGCAGCTTCCACCTGCTCCGTGAAGCGTGGCATGACTGCACCCAGAGCACAAGGCTGGTCAGTCCCACCCCAGCCACTCTCTGCTTCCCACTCCTGCCTTCTCTTAACTGTCCTGGGAGCTGTGCAGTCCTTCCATTGAAATCACAGCGTTTGGTACAGGTGGTGAAGTCTTAATCCAGCTCCGTTTCTGCTTACACTGCTGCTCTTCGGTGTTTTCCCCTTGGACAGTGAAGTTTATCAGACCCTTCTAATGGACAAGGAGAAAACACCTGGGGAAGCTCTTAGAAACTATGGGATAAAATATTAATTGTTTGTTTGATGTTCCCTGCAGATTTACATCATTTTTTTGGGGGGGAAAAAAAAGTCATGCTACCATCAGGAAACTCAAGTTTAAGAAGCGCTGGAAGGGGGCAGGTTGCAGTGCTGCATTTCAGTGACTCATGGTGCCCCAGGAAGAACATGCCAGAACCAGTTAGAGTCTGCTGTTTCTTCAGTGTCACCCTTGATTCCTCATCAAAATAATTAAAGCAAAATCAGCAACGAGTAGCTAGCACTGAAACAGCCAGAATCGCCCCTCACCCTTATGGATGTCACAGTAGTTCACAGGGAACACCCTGATTAGGTGTTTATGTGTGGGGCATAACAACCTTCAGTGCACTTCCAGCAGCTGTAAAGATACTTTACAAAATTTACCCTAATTATTACCCTAAATTTATTCTGCTGGGAGAATGTGATCTTCCTTCTGGACCCTGAACAGCTGCAGAGCCTGGTGCAATACTCCAAGATGAGCACAGCACAACTTCCAAGCCTTCACTCACGTCTGGGACTCATTCCCGATGTTTCTGCTTCCCACAGCCCAGTCCATGACAGCGAGCACACTCAGGGACACCTTGTGCACAGCTGAGCTTTGAGCCAGTCAACACAGCAAAATCACACTTCTCACTTTGCAACAGTTTTGCCAACAACTCCCACTAATTCGCATTACAGCAAATTGAGTCTTTAACAGATTTCACAGGTACACGGTACCCAGCTGCCCACAAGCTTTCAAGCAACAGCAATTCAGGGCTCCTGGAGTGAGCGACCCTTACCTGTGTTGGACAGTAACTTGGTTGCTTCCAGCACCTTCTCAGTGTACACTCCAGGTTCGTAGTTGTCCATCTCCGAGGTGACCACGTGGATGACGCGGGCAGCGCGGCCCCGGATCGCGCCGGCCGTGCGGTCTAAGCCATCCACATCTTTTTCTTGGAGAGCGATGACGCATTTGTTTACATCTTCTAAAATGTGATTCTCTGGAGGTATAAGAAGGAGGATTTAGATGGCAATGTCTTTTCTGTCCTCAGGGTGGGACCTACTCTATAGAAGCTCCATGGAGATGCTGTCAAGCATCAATGTGAAGGTCACTACAACCAGCAAAGAGCTGCCCTTCCACAGGAGGTGTCAAAAAAATACCAATCCATTCACCAACTGGCCTCCAAACATCCTGCCCTGTTTGTACTTGATTTTGCCAACAGGAAAGCTGAGTTATTCTGAGCTCTCCCCTGGTTTCTTTCCGTATTTCTCTCCTGCATTGCCCCAGCCCTTATTTCCAACACCTGCAAACCACTCCTCTGCCAGTGCACGTGGGGTGATGGGCACCTCCCCAGCACCACACCTACTCCCCTCAACACTCCAACAGACACTTGGTGCAGTTTCCAGCTTCCTCCAGAGTGTTTTCCTACAGCCACACACATTCCATTGGAGCACATTACACTGTGAGTCGCCCATTCCCATCTGAGACATGTCATGTATGCAGTGAATAATGTGGAAAGCATGCCAGCCACACAACACTCACTGACTGTTCAGAAAACAAACAAAAAAAATAAAGACAAGACCTCTGTTTGCAATTAGCTTTTTAAATATACATTTTCTGGTTTTGTAAAGAGATATTTTCCCTATTCATCGAGTCCAAGAAGCCCAAAATGTGAAAAACCCTCTAAGAGATTTCTGAAGATGCCTAAAGAAATTGGGATCTTTATTTGGGGAAACCTACCTTTAAGATCTCCCAAACTATTATTATAGACTTCCAAACTCTGCTAGAGAACTCTTTAATGTACCAAGACTAATGTTTCAGTATCATCATCCAACACCTGCATTTGGGCTGCTTGGTAAGAAACCAACTTGGAAACATTTCTGCTCTGTCACTTAAAATAGTTTCCAGGGTTGATTACCATTGACTTAATCTTTCTACACTGCCAACCCATGCAAGTGGCTTTTATTCCCTCTGCAGGTAGTAAAAGAGCTATTTTGCAAGAGTTTGTAGAGACAAGAAGCTCACAGTGTTGGCTGGGAGAGGATTTGGAGAAACTGCCTGAAAGGATTGCTGTGGGAAGTTATGCCTGATTTACATAAAATTAACACAGCCAGGTGCAATATTGCAATACTTCAGTAAGTAACCTGGGCAAAAATTACACTTGTGAAATCCCTCTGAAGCAACTCAGCCTGAGCAGGTTCAGCTGAGGGCAGAATGTGGCCCTGAGAGAGCAAAGAGCAGGTTCATTAGTGATTTGCCAAGTCAGTGAGCAGCACAGGAGCCACAGCGAGCACAGAGGGTATTTAAAGAAGAGACAGCCCTGGGAACTGCAGGAGCCCAAAGAAAAAGCTTTGGCGCCAGGCCAAAACATAGACTGTTTATTGCTTCAATTCCTAAACTAATAAATTAAGCCACAGACCATTTAAAAGCCTCTTTGGATTATCCGAACTTTAATAAAAGGCATGGACAAAATGAAGGTGAATATTTAAATGTCTGCTGATCATTTAATGCCTTCTGCAGATGTGAAGTGCCAGAAAGTCCCTTCTAGAGGGAGATAACCCACAGGGCAGCTTGCAAAGGGCCCAGGGAAGTGCAGGACTGTCAGGTCTATCTGCTCTGGAGATATTCTCCTGCTGGATGATAACAAATAAGATCTGACACTGTGCTGAGTCCTTGTAAATACACCCAGTGCTCCCCATCCTACGGGCACACAGAGCATGGGCTCCCCACCAGCACCTCTGGGCGTGGGAGAAGGCTGTCCCACATCCAAACCCCCCTGTCCTCCTGCTGAGCAGGAGAAACTTCCCACAGCAACACCACACAGCACAGGCAACAGCAAAGAGATCTTGTCCCACCAAAACAGCTACAGGGAAAATGGTGTGCTTGGGCAACAAGGTAAAAGGAAAAGCATTTTTTCAATAGAAATTATTTTTAGACTAAACAAGGAAATACACTAAACTGTGAAAAACTACAGAATAAAAAGTCACCCACACTGTCAATCCTCAATCCACGCCCACCAAACACCTTCCACCTCCACCCACATCCACATTAAAGGGATGAAGCAATGCTTTTCCAAACAACTACAGCAGTCTGTGAGGGAGTCTGAGGGCTACAGGAGATCAAAATTAAGGAGCAACAGTGGGGAGATGAAGCCACAGATTCATAAATACAACTGTGCTTCTCTGCTGCACCTCCTGTGGAAGGTCTCAGAACCATTTCCATGCTGAACCTCTGCTGCCAAGGGGCACTGCAGGAGCCAGGCCAGGCAGCACATGGAGCAAACTGGGGACTTCATGTTCCTGCAAATACAGGGTTCATCCTGGCACTATTCACTGGGAGGCTCTTCAGAAAAAACAGTTCCACTGAGATGGGCAATCTGTGGCATAAACCTCTGTCAGCAGCAGAGGAACAGAAGGCAGCAAATGGAATGGTTTTTTAAGAGGGTTTCAAAGGAGATTCAGGTAATTTCAGAACATTGAATTTGACAATTACATGGTGCTATCAGCAACTGCTCTAAAGAACAGAGATAGTGGGCACACCAACACACCCAGAGTGCTTTGGGAAGGTACTGGTAAGAGTGATAAGAATTACAGAAGGTACAGGAGAGCTTTGAAATGAGGAATAATGAAACAGGCAGAGTCTGTGCAGTCAGGGAAGCGATGACTGACAAAGTGCATGGCAGAACTCTGCACGTTTACAAACAACATGAAGAGATAGAACAGGGAAAAAACCTCTTCACCATCTTTAGTACAAGTAGGGGCATCAAATGAAGCAAACAGGAGACAGTGCAAAACAAGGAGGTTCTTCACAGGGACCACACTTCAGCTGTGAATCTTTGCACAGGATGATAGAGGTGCCAGCAGTTTAGTGGTCAAAAGAAGAACTAACACCAGCTTAAATGAGAAAAATCTGTCAAGGGCTGTTCAGGAGATAGCACCTTTGATGCTGGAGCTCCCTGAGCTGCACATCACTCATGGCTGGAAGCACACAGACATCTCTAGGCTACAGGGCTCCTGTGCCATCCACCTCCCATCCTGAAAGTGAGCCTCCCCCAGACCCTGCCCTAACTCAACAGGGCCCTTCTGCTGCTGTACCTGTGAAAGTGCTGTCACCTGCAAGCTCACCTGCAGCACTGTGCACTGGTGCATCCTTCTTCTATGATGTTCTGCTGTTACCTAAACCCAGCATCTCTTTCATCAAGCCTTTACTTGTGGATAATTGATACAATTCTGCAGCATGAGCTGAATGGTGAAGGCTTTACTTCAGCACATCACACAGTAGGGATGTGGGATGGCTTACATACATATTTATCTATGCACACACGCATGCACTCACAAGAACTCCTTTAAATTCTGCTTACATCCCAGTTAGTAACTGATACAAACATCCTAATAACCCCAAACAGCACTTGATATAAATCATACCCACTATGACTTTATCCAAAGAGAAGTTCAGACTTCAAGCAGATGAATTGGAGTTGTGGCATTATATGGAAAACATTTATCAAAGTTCAAACAAATAATGTTTAAAAGAGTATTTATTGCTTTAATATTTTTCTACCATGTCTTCAATAACACAGAGATATAAATAATTACTGAATGCACTTCAGTATCTGGAGTTGTCTCAAACTACATTTCCTTGGCTCCATTTTGGGTGGTGAGCACTCACTTGAGGTGAACTCTCGTAAGTCAATGTGCTACCACCCCAGGAAAGAAACCTCTGCTTACTGCCAAGCTCCTGAGAGTACAGCCATGCAACAGATTTGGTCATTTAGCCAAAACACCCAGTTCTGTTCTAACCTGCATCCCTGCAGAAGATGGGGCTGTCCTGCCCACAACTCACTTGAGCTTGTGGTGCTAAACCTGGACAACCAGGAAAGGAAAGTGATTTTGGCAGCTTCACACAGGCTGTGTTTGTATGGACACCCAGCTTTTCCTTCTCACATATTTGTACACTTGTGGGAAAGCTTCAAGTGGAGCCTTGAACTTCAGCACACAATTCCCTCTGCACAGATTTCCCCAATCCAGGCTCCTCCAGCTGCTGCTGCCCAGTGAGCACACACAGATACAACGAGCTTGGACACTGAACTGCCCAAGAAGTTTATGCTCATTCATTGCAAAGAGGAATTTTATTGAGAGCCCAGGGAGCCACAATACAGTGTGTATGATAATGCAGGTGACTCATCACAGGAACACCACTTGGGCTTTTCTTTGGTTTTTCTTAAAAATAAAAAAAAATATGACCTCTTAATTCAGGACCTTAATTTCTCATCTACATTTTCTATGTATGTTCACCTGGTACTTCTGACTCCACACATCCTCCTGTGAAATCGCTCTTTACAACTGGAGGTTTTAGGTCAATTCAGATGCCCAAACCTACTTGCACCACAGAAATTAGAATCCCAGCTTGCACTGGTGATTTGTGAACACTACTGCAGACACAATTCACATGGTTGCATCTCCATGTCCTCTGACTAGAGCACAATTAAAGGATGTGGAAATAAAAATGCCCCCATTATTTTTAGGTCACATTAGCTGATAGTGGATCTTTATCAAGATGCTGATAAAATGGATTAACTTGGCAAGTACTTTGGCAAATGTAATTATTAATCTATTATAATGATCCAATCTTTTTAAAGAACTCCTAAAACTTTACTGAAGCTGACATGGTATGAACAGTTTTATTTTAATTAACTTGTACAACCACGGTTTGATATTCAGTTTTGTTTACATGGCAGTCTAAGGTGACCTCAGGGATAATTTTTTCTGCTAGTTCCTACCTTGGACATAAACATGTTCTATTTCCCCCTGAGTTACAGGTGAGGCTTGTCTACAGCAGCTAAATGGTAATTCATCCTTAGTTCAGCCAGCAATTCCAAACCTTGGGACAGAAAGTGTCTTCTCCTTGAAACCAGATCTGCTGCACTGCCACACCTTGCTGGGCACAAGGTGATCCCAGGTGAGATGTGACAACACCATCCCTTCCAAAAGCCTCACAGACTCCAGAACACATGTCAAAACCACCCCTTTCCAGGATTAAGCTCTTTTAGGAGGATGATTATCTCTCAGGCTGGAGCCCTGATTACCTGACACGGCCAGGAAGTCATCGATGGAAGTGATGTCATCCACGGCGTCCGTCAGCACACGGACTTGCCTCTCCCACTGCTCCTTGAACAGATCCATGTTCTCCTGAGCCAGTTTGCTTTGGGGTTTAGCAGCCAGAGCCAGTGCAGCATTGATGACCTGTAAAACACCTCTGGATTTTTAAAAAATATCCCAACAAAATTATTACCTCTTGTGTGTTTATCCAATGAACTCAGCAGCAGACAAAGGAAGTTTAATAAGTTTTGAGGAACTTGATGTTTAAACACAGAAGTGTTTAATTTTGTTGCTCTCACATCCAACTCATACCTGCTTCCACATTTATTATGGATACTTATTAGAAGAAAATCACTTGGCAAGTTTTCACAAGAGCTGGTTTCACCTGTCTTTAGCAGTTCGTGGTAATAAGGTGTTGCTTTCCCAGTGCAGGCTGTGTTGTTAAGTATTTTAGACAGGATGACATTTAGTACACTCAAGGCTGCATTTGCTACTTGCCAAACCTCAGTAAAAAGGTCAAAAAAGGATTAATCTTATACAGACTGAAGTAGAAACAATATGCAAATACCAAATTTAAAATAAATTTTGATTTATCACTTTTCCTTGAAGCTTTACTTTGGATCTTGCCAGTAATTGTTGTAATGACTTCAGATTTCTGCTGTGGCTGTGAGCAAGCCAGATAAGCCAGGGAAAAGGAGATGCTTCTTCTGAATATCCTCTCCTAATTTTCTTCAAACCCCAAAACCAGAATTTACACCAGATCCTAGTTTTTCTTAGCAGAACAAATGCTACAGGTGCTGCTGGGTCACAGAGCTTACACTGTGCCCACTAATTGGTCATTTAAACAACCACAAAAGCTCTTTGAATGTGGGGAGAAACCAAATCTCAACAGCCTGGTCCTGCTCTTGCTGCAGCAGAATGACCTGGAAAGGTGCCAGGAGTGAAGAGCCACTCGCAGTCGGAGTGTGACAATCCCAGCCCTGCTCCCAAGCACCTGAGAGTCACAGCTAATTAACTCACAACTTCAAGGTGTCATTTTTCTTCCCCACTTTAGGACCGTATTAATTTCACAAACTTGTCGACCAAAACATGCAACCACCAGATGTTCCTCCTTTTCCAAAATCTACTCTCTCTACCTGCTTCATTTACAAGTGTCACAAAGCATTAAAAAAAATATATAACTCACTAAACATGGAAATGATGGTGATGTCAAATGTACTGGGACGGCACTGAATGAATCAGTCAGGAGGAGGAGGCTGAAGGCTTCACCCAAGGAATGGCAGGAGTTAGCAGTGACAGGCAAATCCACAGAAGGGCTGGGCTGCTCCCCACACTGCCTCTGGAGCTGGGGCTGCAGCTCTGGGTCACAAACCCAGCCCAGCTCCGTGGGTTTGGTGACAGTGACCAACACAAGCAGCAGTACCTGAGCCTGAGCAGCATCTGCTCAGGGATCCGTGGGGATGAACACACCTCTGAGCCTTGCAGGATCGGCACTGTCCCTCTCCTAACCACCACCAAGGGCTTCTCTGCTGCTCCCCTTCCTCCAGCCAGTCCAGGGTCACACCTCTGTGGCACTGCAGGAGTCAGGATGTCCCTTTGGAATGTCCCTGCTGCCAGCCACAGTCCCTGCCACTCTGCCACTCTCACTCATGGAACTGAAAGTCCTGACAGCCCTCGAAAAGCCTTGCAACACCAAAAAAAAAATGTTTAGAATTTTAAAATCAAATATAAGTTTTAGATAGGCAAACGTCCTCAGCTGCTCGAGAGCCCTGATTTGCAGTCCAGCCACTGCCATCTCTGATCCCAGTCTGATGGATGTAATGAATTAACCACCTATCAATCAAAATCTAGATATCCAAGGTTTCATGAAGATGAATCTGAACAAGTGTCCTGCAAACAGGAGAGATAAACCAGACAATGCTCTAGAAATCTGCTCTCACTTCTATCCTGCTAGAAACTGTCACTACAGAGGCAGAGATGGTGGCGAGGCGATACCAAGGGTCAGGACATTTTCTCTGCTTTTCCCAACCTGCCTTGGCCCATATCAGATATAAAACATCCTGTAAGCATTGAGACAGGGCAGCATTAATGCTGCAGGAACATATGGCCTGGGCTCCTGCGAGATGTTTGTCTGGACACAGCAGCTGTCTGGACAATTAATCGTTGCCAACAGCGCATGTCAAGCCCAGATGCCCATGCTCAGCACCTCCCACGTCCCAGGTAATGGCAGAGCTGTCACATACAGGGCTCTGCAACTGCCCCACAGCCTCAAACTGTGGGTCCTCACCACATCCAAGCACAGGACGCACAGCATCACCCTCTTCTCAATAGGCAGCTTGTTCAACCGGAAAAAGTGCATTTTTTATACTTTACAGCAAAAATGTATGGCCAAGGTGAATGTATTTTATAAACATGATCAAGCAAAACTAGTGTTGATCTCCCTTACAGACAGACATTCCTGCAGTAGGGAAGCAGCCAGCAGTGCTGGAGATGAGGAAACCTGGTGGGGATATCAAAGGTTATCCATGGTCACCATGGAGCTAAAGACAAACCTACAGCTCAGGAGAGCCACACAGGTGTGAGTGTGCTCAGGGAGAAATTCTGGGCAGCAGACACAGCTCAGCAGTGACTTTTTATAGCACACATTCCATATCTCCATGTGCAAAGTGGCCACAACAGGCAGCTTTAGCAGGGGTGATAAAAGCCATCACTCTGTGGAGAGTTTAGCATTCAAGTGGGCAAATCATCCTGCACCTGCCTCACACCTCTGCTGAGGAAACATCCCAGGGATCACTGACAGCATCCTGTATGTGATCTGTTCCGGGGAATACACTCTGGTATCCAGCGCAGAGTGATTGATTTATTTCCCAACAGATGCTTAGAGAGACGTGGGAAAATGACAGGGATGCTGGATCTTAAATAGTCTGTGTACTTAGCAGGACTATGATCCCTTTATTATCTAAAAATAAACACTTTCAGGGGGAGGAAGAAACACTTTTTTGGGGGAAGGGATGGACCACAATACACTTTACTTCTCCAAAACACATAAAGCATTGGGCAATTATTTTAAAATATCAGTAACTCTCACAGGATGGAGATAGACAGAGTTAAAACCCCAGGAAGATCATCACTGGACTATCTGAAATGTAGCCACTTCCGTGTTAAACATTTGGCAATCTCAGGGAAATATTTTGTATTTCAGAGCTTTTCAAGATGCTGCCAGAGCACTGTGATCACAATGACTCACTGAAGTTGTACAAAGAAAAGAATCAAACAGGGACATTTTGAGCCTATCCAGAAGGAAATGAAGCATGGCAAGAAAACACACTATTTTTATCGGTGCTTTGTTTCATGTAGCAGTTGCAGTGTTGGAGTCAGACAGCTCCACGCTCCATGTCACACTTCCAGAGAGCTCCTTGGAGCCTCTCCCCTGCACCTCCCAGCTTCCTGTGGCAGCAGCCAGGGCTTGCCAACACCTGGGGAGGCTCAGCATTCCAAAGTTTGGAATGGATGTCTCAATCTGCACCTTGGGTCCTCTTCTCATCCCTTCCATGGGAACGAGCTGCTGCTTTTCCCTGGTTTTATGTTCCCTGTTGAAAGCAGAGATGTCAGAGCTGGTTCTGGGGCAGAGCAGGGCAGGGCTCCTCAAGGCTCCCTGCAGTGACTCCTGCCTGGTTTACAACACTGCAGCTGCTTGGCCCAGAAGCTCTCTCAAAAAGCTCAGCTATTCTGGCCAGAAAACACCTGAACCTCAGATAAACCTGTAGGTAAATTGCAGCCACTGCATCAGCCACAATTAATTATTTTAGGCTAAATTTAGGACAGCTTCCAGCCTCAGTTTTATAGCACCTCAGCTGAAAGTCAGAGAGGTCAGAAGGAAGCTCTTCCATGTGATGGTGTTCTTAGAAAGAACAATTTTGAATACTTGGCTGGCATGACCAAAGGAAGAAACTGCTTGGGAGAGGAAAACTATCACCCAGCTATTTGCACTGCAATCCCAACCTGTTGCATCTTACTCAGGGTCTCACCCACACCCATATCAGTGGATTTAAGCACTTCTTGATTTTTGCCTCAGTCCTTTTGATAAGAAGCTTTTGCTCCTTCCAGGAGAATGCTCTTCCTGCAGCTGGTTTAGCTTTTCTTTGATTTCTAGGATTTATTTTAGGATGTTACTGTGCCCCAACAAGGAGGAGTTTTCCAGTTTCAGAAGTGCTGAGGTGAACCTCCAGTCCTCTCCCCTCACTACACACCACTGCTTTACAACCAAAACATCTGCAGCTCCTAAATAACTCACTTGGGCTTAGGGTTTATATCAAGACCTTCACTCACCAGATTCCTTGTCACATTTGGATAATGAGTTGTTAAGTAGCTCCTTGGCCTACAGAGGCAGGATACTTTGCATTTGTAAAAAGAAAAAACAAATAAAACAAACCCCCACCTATCAGCTCTCATCTCAGGGGCAGAGGAACATGTGGCACACAGACAGTGCCCCAGTGGGGATGTGAAATCAGTTTTACTCAGGAGTAGTGAAAAGAAGCCCATCAACCCTCTCTGTCCTTGCTCAAATGGATTTTAATCCCATATTTTCCTGTAATAAAGAAAGCATGTCTTGCTTCCTGGCAGTTCATAAGAAGCTCCTCATAATTTAACTTTACATATACAAGATGCCAGAGCTGCCTCCAGTGCTTACCCTGCTCATGCCCCTTCCCTGCTCCTCACTGTTTTGCTCCAAGTGTTCAAAATGTTTATGAGGAGGATGTTGAAGTCAGTCCCAGTTACATCCCAGCCAGGTTTGCATGCCCACATCTGTGTGTGCCAGCCCTCCATGTACTGAAGTACAGCAAAAAGCACTCTGCAGGCTCTGATGAGCTGAAATGCCTGGGAGCAAAACACACAGCAGATTGTTTTACACTCTCAGAAGCCCTAATGGCAGTGACCAGCAATGAACAGAGGCTGATGCACCGAAAGAGGAAGGAAAAGTTTCCTTTGATTTCCAATTCTTTGTTCTCATGTACAAAAGGCACTTTGAGCACTTCCATGTCCTGTTATGCACGGAGTGACTGCAGGGATCTCTGCAGATATTTACAGACTTGTGGCAGTGCTGGAACTACCCACAAATCCACATATTTACCAAGTAACTCAGA